TAAGTTTTCAGCTATTCCAGAACATTCTGGTGATAGATAGGGACTTTTGGAAAAACCCTAATAACATGATATTTTATTTTTACTTTAGTCTAGGTTTCTATTGCCTCCCCTCTAGCCTTTTATAAATTTCAGAGTTACACAAACACTTCCTAAGAATGCCCTTCTCCCTGCCTGTATGCTGGCCTTGCACATAAACAGGGAGAGCTTGAAATCTGGTTGTGAAAGCTCCCCTTTAACTGGGCAATAACAGCCTCATCTCCAGCACTATTCATCTGACATAGTAAAGTAATTTTTCTTTGTTAATGATGGGAGCTGTTTCCTATTTAAAAGGTTTTCTACCTGTGTTTTACACCAGTGACATTCATGTGCTGCTGTTTTCATAATCAGAAATGGGCTGTTAGTTTATATGGCATTTTCCAAGATTTTTCTCTATAACAAGTAAATGTTGAATTGCCTTTGCATATTTTAATTCATCTTAATCTGTTGAAGTTGTATTGGTCAAATTTTTGTGTGATATGAATTCAGTAGTGTGACTTTTTTCCATTTTTTTTTCTAAATTGAAACCATTTGAAAGTGCAGAAAAATAAGAAAAAGTTTATTTCTTCTCTGACAAGGTTAAAACCCAATTGTAAGTCAGACAAAAACCCCCAAAAGCTCACATTGGATATGTTTATTGAAATATTCAAATAGAATTCATTCTCTCTAGAGAGTGAAACTATGGTGGCATATGGGGAAGTAAGATATATTACAATAAAACTGATATAAAACAGTTGAATTCAGAAATAGTGGCAGGAGATAATTTTAGTTCATTATGATTTAATTCAATTAAATGCAACACTGTTAACTGCAGACTAAGAAGTATTACTTGTGCCTGTGCAGGCACACACAAGCATTATTTATTCTCTGCTGCATCTCTCTTTGCAGAAGAAATTACACCAGTAAAAGGGGGGTGCTCAATGCTTTCATAGCACTGTAAACCTCTCTATACCTCACAGACCTCAGTGGAAATTTGACCTGAGCAAGGAGAAGCATTGAGGTAAGGTGTTGAAGAGTAGACCCCTCAAAACCCAGGAAGATGTCCTTAGGTAGTATATGCTCTTTGAATGTCAACAGTGTTGGTGCAGGCTTGTGGATTAGTTTACCAGATAGTGCCTCAAATGAGGTTGGCACCAGCGGGGAAAATATAACTGCTTATTTTATTTTTTTCTTCAACAACAAAAAAATCCATCAGAACAAGCTGCCTATGTCTTGTCTATTCCAGGCACTGCTCCGAGTCTCCTGAAGGACAGAAGTTACTGATCCCCATCCTCCTCCTCCACTTACCTGAGCTGTTCCCTGCTCTGTACCTGAGCACGACAGCTCAAACCCGCAGAGGCACAAGGCATTCAAGGCCCGTGGATTTCAATCTGAGCTATCTGCCTTTGTGCATCCATGCCTAAGGGCCGTGCTGGCCATGTCCCAAATTCCAACTCAGGCTCACAGCTGAGGAGGAGGTTAATGAAGGGCAGGTGGCACAGGACTGAGCTCTCTCCTCTCTCCCAGGGCTTTCTGACCCTGCAGGTGTGGGATGGTGAGCTGTGACAGAGAGTGTGTTTGTTGTAGCAGTGGGAAAAGGTTTAGCATGGACCCAAAGACACCTGCATGAATGCTTGGCATGATGGCATAGAGTAACAGGTAGAAGCTTGGCTGGGATTTTTGTATGGAATCAACAGAAAGAAATTTCTTATTTGTCAAGTATGTTTTATTTGACTGTGTAAGCTGAGATGTGTGACCCTGTCCTACCTGGGTCAGGCACCCAGTGCTCATGCTTAAGGACTCTATAGTCTACAGTCTCAGACCCTGTAGAGACAGGTGTATTATAAAGTCCTTGCTTATGTTTTGTGATTTTGTGTTTCCATCATGGCATGGTTTAAACACCCAGCTCTGGTTGCTGCAAACAAAAGGATGCTTCCAGTCCCAAAGAATGTGTCTACAGTTTAGATCTAGGATAAAATCTTACACCAAATGTGTCTGTGAACCATAAACAAAGAAATAAAACTTAATAGGGACAATGATTACCTTTACACCAGCTGCTTGACCACTGTCTATATGTAAGCTATCAGAAGAGCATATACTGTTGAATTATTCTTAAGACAAGAGTCAGCCTGGAAAGCAAGAGAGAAGCTGAAAAGGGGGCTGTGATAGAGCAGCAGGAGATGTGATTTCATCTGCAAATGCTTTGAGATTGTTTGATATTGCAGGTAACTGTCTTTGATCACAGCCTTATAACCATCACCTTTAATTTGTAGCGCAGAGGTTACTATCTAGCACCCAGCTAGCCAAATGAAATGTATGGCTTGATTAAGGATCTCTTTTGTCAGTAATTTGTGCCTAATGTTTTTAGCTTTCCCACGGGCTGTTACAGAAAATGGTAAATCTGGTTTAAATGAAACCTGATACTGTTAATGGTTTAATAGCAGCTGCCACAGGGTTATGGCATTTTTCAACAGATGCTTCTGTTTCATTTTAAGCCTAAACTAAGTCTTAGAATATATGTACATAATTAATATAAAGTACACATACATAATAATGACAGTATTTATAATTTTAAAAGATTTCCTTAAATTACTTTGCTGTTATCTAATCACAATATAAAACTTGGAAAAGGAAGGCATATTACTAGAAATAATAATTTATATTCACCTCTTCAAAAAAAGTTGTAGATGCAGCGCAACTGTGAACACTTGTCATCTCCTAACATGGCAGCTATTGGTGTAGGCAAATCCCTTGCTGCTTCAGAGAGACAAAAGCTTTGCTGCACCTGAGTTATGCTTGTTATCTTATCTACTGTTCAGTCAGAAGTATAAAATAAGTGATGCTTGTATTTAAATATACACATCAAGAAAGAGCTGTGTTGAGGTGTGTACTTATATACAGAAATATTTGAAGCAGTAAAGATTTGTGGATGATTATTGGCTGCACAATGTCATCTGATTGAGGAAGTCCCTGCTAATTTAAGAAAACTTAGGTATTTTAGGGTGTTCACAGTGGGTGGTTGGTTTGAATGGATTTCTTCTATTTGGAGGTCTTATTCTTGACTTCCAAGAAGTCCTGAGGGTGTATCCTACAGGATATTCAGTGACAGGATGCTGTATGTATGTGTCTGTTCACAGTGAGGAGAGGAGAAAAGGCTTCTCTTTCTCAGACTTGGCTGGAAGGCAAAGTAATGTTGGGCAGGCAAGTGTACCAAGGCATTTGCTGCTATGAGCTGCGAGGACTGAAATGGGAACAGTAAAACATGAAAAACATGCAAATAACAGAAAATTGTCTCTATTAAAGAAGCATCAAAGATTGTTTATTTAAGAGAGTAGGCAGTCACAGTTCTCTCAGGGGAATGTGTAGTAGCAGTGGTGAAGCAGATGTTTGACTGTGTGAAGGGTATAGATGATGTATTTGCTCCCCTTGTCCCCAAGGTGACTACCCTTCATAGCTGTTAGCCTGGGTATGATGGCAATCATCTTCGGTGTTCTAGCTTTTGGGAGGGTTTTGTTTTATTCGTCCTTTTGAATGTATTAGGGTTGTTCAACAGGACCTGGGTCAATGCCCACCTTAATTAAAGAAAACAGCTACAAATGTGGCATAGCACCAGATTTATTTTCCTTTGTGTTTACCCTTCTTTCTTCTGTACCCACCAAAATCTTACACAGGGATTTACATAAGTTGATTACTTCAGGGTGTTTGTTCACCACTAGATTTCAAGTCTTTGCCATGGGAACACAATTGCTCCAGGCCCCAAGGCATTGGTAACCCTCTTCCACACCTCCAAGCTGCTCAGAAGAATATCTTAACATGTCTTATGAAAAGTGTAAAACTGTGTTTGCCAGTTCTCTCTGAGAACTTTTCACCTCAAAATCCTTTTAAACCCTGCACTGAGGTTCACAGACTTTTCACTAAGAGCTTTAATTTAAAGGAAGAAGGCTATTAAGTACCAACATCGTTCCCACAACTGGGTGGAGAAGAGTTTGTGACTCAGTGAGGAGCAAGTTTACACGTGTTCTTATTGGGGGCTTGGATGATCTTTCCAAAGCTGCTGCAAGATGAATCCAGGGGTGAATCTCAGCAAGCCCTCACAGGGACACCTCAGATTTCCAAGCTGGTTTGTTATTCTCTCTTAAAGATTTCTAGTGGCAATGTTTTTCCACCACTGGTACATAAAGACATAATATGAATGCTTTCTTAAAGCAAGAAGAGAAATCATAAAATAACCACACAAGAAAAAGCACAGCATTTTTTGTTGGAGTGGAAAATTGGTCAAATATCTGATTTTTGGGAAGAGTTGTTAATTGTTTTAGTGTGCAAAATTGGATCAAAGGTAAGATGTTTGTAGAGCATTATATGATAAAAGAAAGTCAGTTCCCTTGTGATGTCTTTGTAACAAATAAATCTTCCTCCTTTGCTAGGTTCTACCATGCAGAAAAGCTTTGAAACCAAGCATGGTACTCCTCTTTGAACTCTTCCTTCTTCGTGGCACCTACACCTGGATTGATCGAGAAGTGGGATGGGGAGCTTTTCCCTTATGTGATAACAATTTTAATGCTTTGGAGGGAAAATTTAAATGTCCCTTCCTCAGAGGACATTATGATTCCAGAATTGACCGATTCAAAAAAATTGAAAATTTTATTTCTCAGGACTTGGATCATTGGTTATGCAATCTCTACTTTCAGGTTTGTATTTTAAAAAATGGTTTAGTTTTCTCTATATTTTTTTTATTCTGAAATTGGATTGTGGCTCATCTCCCATTTACTGGGATGTCTGCTTTAATCAGTGAGCATGAGGAAGAAATACATGGGAAAATTATATGGGAGAAAAGAGTAGTAAACAAAGTACAGAGAAGCAAGAACTTCCTAAAATTCTTATAACAATTTCTTGGACTGCTAGGCTTCACAAACAGTGTACAACAAGCATATTCTGGCTTTGTGGAATTCCAGACTACTTTTTTTTTTTTTTCTTTCTCTTCCCAGATAATTAAACTACCGCAGGATTCAGATAAGCAAAATAAGTGTGGTATGCATGTTCATCTGCCACCCGAACTTCTTATGTGTTCAAGCACTGCTGAAAAGAATGGTGTCTCAGAAAAGGTTGTACAGTCTGGACCACAAGGTGATGGGTTCAAACTTTGATGTTTGCATTCAGGTTTTTGCTGGATCAACCCATAGTTTCATTTCAATGTTGGCTAGTCATTATTTTTCCTGTTAAGCTAGATTGTCTTCATTCAGATGTGGGTCCAACATGTGCTATAGCAGGAATACTCTGACTCTTTATATTAAGGTGGTTTAACATTGTTTTCAGGTGTGAGAGTTCAAACCAGCCTCATTGCTGAGGATGGAATGGCCATGCTGGCCTGTGCTTTAGGCTGAATAATGCTTGGAATGTCACAGCAATAACAGCTCAGCTGTTTGTGGCTCCAAGCTTACAGGAAGAGAAAAGAAAAAGATGCTTTTTTGTGTACTACTGGAAGAACTTTAGCACCTCCCTGGACTACAACAAGGACTTCAGATGGGGCTGGGAGATAGTTCTGGCATCAGAAGCATGCCTTATGCTACTCCTCTGAAATTCTATTAAAATTCAATCAAGTGATAACCCACAGGAAGGACAATTATCATTTGCTTGTGTACAGCAGACCTCCCCAGAAGCTTTCTCAAAAAATCTCTGAATATTCCTTTTAGACTGATCCTCCCTGGACTCTGTGAACCTTCTGATGTAGCTACACTGAGGACATAACTGACCATATTGCAATGGACTCACAAATTGCTCCTCTACTGGTAGAAATCCAGTAATGAGAAGAATTGTTGGATGCTGCTGTTGCTCTTTTCTTTTTTCAGCACGTGGGATGAGACTTCCATAAACAATAATAATAATAATAATAATAATAATAGTAATAACAGAAGCATTCAGCCAACTCATAGATTGTAGTGTATGTGTGAATATTATGTGCAGATCTGAAACAGAGAATTATTTCTTCAGGGCAGAGGTTCCTTAGGCAATTGAGAACAGCAGTAGTGATGCACTGTAGATGGCACAGGAGGAGAAAGAAGAGGCTGTGGAAAGGAAAGAAAGAATGCATAAGCAATAATCATTTACCATGGTAAATGGGCAGCTCAGCTTGGAAGCATAACTTGAAAAGAGTCCAGGAGAAGTATTTTTCAGACAGTTAGTGGTGATTTAAGAGATAAAGAAAATGAGGTTTGTCCTGAGATGCTTTTAGGCTAAGCAGCAACTGCACTGTGATCAGAAGGCTTTTATATAACCACCCTGATAAGAGAAGCATGGAGGTGTAAGCATACGCTATACTGAGGATTAAAGTTTTTTGTTGTCATATATCTTCTACATATCTGCTAAGTTGCTTTTATATGCAGCAAACCATGAATAGCAGTAGAAAGGTTTCTACTAGCAAGTAGAATTGCAGGCAACACTTATCCACGGTGAAGAACTGTGGACAAATTCTTAATGGATCAAACTTGTTTGGTCCTACCATCAATCTTCACATGCATTTGGAGCTGCACACAGAGGGTGTAGCTAAACAGGTCATGCTTTCTGGAAACACTCAGAAAAACTTGTGATGCTCACTTTGAAAAGTCAAGAAATACAGGTTTTTAAGAACTGAGAAAGACCATTGGTGTATGTTCTGTTTTGCATGTAGACCTCTGAAATTTGCTGATAAGGCGATCACGGAAGAGCTATAATTTTCCTGCCAGAAAGATCTGCACAAACAAAACTTTTAGGAGCATTTTTTGATATTGCTTATATTTATTTCTTTTTCTTGGAACATTCTTTAAAGATATTATTAGCTGCCAATATCCCCCATGGGTTTGTTTTTTAATGTATCTATGCAGTGCTACAGTATGTTGTTTCTGCTGGTGATATGTTGCTAAGAGATTTAATAATGGGTAAACAAACACAACATGTGGTAATCCTTTTCAAATTAAAAGTTTATTAAATGCTAGCTTGATGACTTTCTGGCTATTTACAATTAAAGGAACAAACCTTAGAGAACTGGAGATCACGTGGTAAAAATCACAACTTCAACATTTCCAGCAGAAAAAAGTGTTTATGGTCTGTGGCAAGCTGTCGCACATTGATATGTCCTATAAATACAGTATTATATCTGTTAAACCACCAAAAACTGGGGTGGGGAGGGGAAAACTCTGTTAGAGTGACATTAAGGTTGAGACACAAACCAGAGAAAGCTAGAACAGTCTAAATGAAGACGGGTGCTCTGTAACTCACTCTACTGTAGTAGTCTAAATAGTGAGTGATCATGTATATCAGTACCATATGTGGTACTGCAACATATAAGCAAAATAAAGCAGGTTAGGAGATGGTGTTTTAGCCTTCACTTCAAGTTTGTCTTGGTTTTAGAAGTTTAAAACAGAACCTTCATTTTATTTCCATTAACTCCAGGCTACATTATTCTTTTAAGCCACAGCTCCACGTAGGGCGAGGAAAAGCTCTTCCCTGCTCTCTGGTCTAGAGCACAGTGCAGGGAAATGCAGCATAATGCCTCCCATTCTACCTCCTTTGCAGATCAAAGATGCACATTATCAGATCTGGCGTGTATCTTAGTCCAAACCATACCTTCTCTCCATTCTTTTGAAGTGGTATTATCTAAGAGGTTCATGGCAGAAGACAGCTTCTGCTTTTGCCACCACCATCCTTTACTTTTCTTAGGAAAGTATTCTGCTGTTTATCTGTTGCCTTTTACAGGATCAACAGTCCCTGTCAGAGAATAAATGGCAATTTCTGAGTAGAATTCATTATCTACTGTTGTGTGAAAGGTGGTAACAGGTCTAGTAGAAGGAGCTTAGGTAAGACAATTTGATGCAACTACCAGGAATGTTGCCTTGGTAGGCTTGGATGTAAGTAACAAGGGCTTCTAAAATGGATGACAACTTTGAACTGTGAGTCTCCATATAGACACTAAATATACAAATCCACCAAGAAAACGTTCTCCCAGTGAAATCCAACAAGACCCCTTTTGACTTTAGCATCCACAGGAAGAGGGGATTCACATGTGCAAAATGTCAGCATAACAGTATTTTTTGGAATTGGCACTCCGTTCATCCTCAGAAAAGTTGATGGACAGCACTCATATATTAGTTCTACAGCTCAAACACTTTTAGGTCAAACACCAGCTCATTTGGAAAGTGTTGCTCCACATTTGTTGGGTACCTTCATCCAAATGCTTTCTTTTGCAGCTGTGCTGTTGATCTGACTTGACACACAAACACCATTTTGTGCCCATCTGAACTTGTCATCAGATAAAACAGGCAAGTGAAAAGCTAGGGATGATGTTATCCACTGTAGTTTTTAGAGCCAAAGGGAAACCTTTTTCGTTGCAGTTGACATTCATACCACTTTAAGGTTGGCCATTTTGAAGTCCTGAAGCTGTGGTTGGCACTGTACCAGCACAAACTGATGTGCACTCAAGACCCAAAAAGTGTGCTTATAAGGTAGAAGGTGGAATAGTCACTGAGGATTAGGATACTGAAGTAGTACTTTTCTATTTTTTAGCGCTAAATTTTGTGTATTTTTGGTGAACCTAAAGAGTCATGACTGATTGTACATTTTTTTTTTTAAGCAGTAGTTTTCCCAAGCTCTGGAGTATGAAATCAAGAAAGGAGTTTTACTTAGCCTGACTGTGCTGGGGGAGAGGTGTTATCAGACAAGATTTTGAGGGAAACTGTTCAAAGGTAGCCAGGCTGTTAGGTCCCAGCACCAGGATGATCTTGCTGTAATAGAACTGGTAGAGTGTTGCATTAGCATGAATACATTGCTCCCAGTGTCTGGGCTAGTAGAAATGTTTGTTGCTATTGCTTTGCTGAGTAGATTTGTCACACAGAAAGATTTCATCTACCTCAGCTGTTTTGTGTTGGACTAAACAGCTACTTGCAGATTTTTTGAGTCTAAAATCTTCTTTCCAGAATATCTGCTTGTCTCTTATTCGCCCCTGCTCTACTATGGGAGCAAGAAGAAAAAAAAAATGCAGCTGTTTGGGAATGGTTTTAAGGACACTAATTTTTTTTTTTTTTTTTTTACAATGAACAAACATCTCATTTTTCCTTGCACTTTATTTTTTCCTTCCCCTTACAATCTTTGCTGTCTTACAGCAGTGCATGTGGCTCCTGTGCCCTATGCATCAACCAGAAGAAAAGTTAGAACCACTGAAATGTCTTAAGTTCTCATACTATGAGCTTATAACATAAATAAATATTATAGAGTGAGACAATTTTAAGGTGTACAATTTTTCTTGTTACTGTACAGTTTAGAGTATATTTTTGGTCTATCTTCCTTCTGTCTGTCTGCCTGGCTTTTAATAACAGGGTTGGTTTGTACCACTTGGCTTCAGCAGTCCTTGAAACTCGCCAGGGTTGTAAAGCTTTAAACAGTTACACAGGTCTTTAATTGTAAATTAGTTTTGACAGGACTGCTAAGACAAAGGCCTGGCCCATCCCATCGTGATGCTAGCCGACAACCCCTTACTGCTCCTGGAGCAAGGAAACATGTGGAAGGAATTGTTCTTTTACATTTCACAGCTTGTCATTTCCTCTGCAGGGCAACCTCTGACCTCCCCGAAAGATCCTGACACCCATAAGGGAAGTATTCCCACTGTTGTAAAGGAAGTGGAAAAGCAGTTTAATGCTGCGAAGGGAGGAGAAGCGTGTGTGTCAGAAGAAGCTGTGAGGAAAAGAGAAGAGTTTAAAATGCTTCCAGCAGGTTAGGACTTTTATTGCGTTACTTAATTTACTGAAAGTTTGCAAGTAGATCTGCCTGGCATGTGTGTAAATACCCCCATTTGCCTTCCCCCTCACCCTGTGATATCATCTCATCATTATTTCACTAGGCAAAGGAAGTGATGGAAGAGTTTAAATCAATTGTTAGGGATCAAAAGCAGCTTAGGCAAAAAGGTACAGAAGCAGTGGAGTCCCCTGTCTAAAACATATTTGTAGGCCAAATGTGTTAGTAATTACAAGGTGTGTGTGCAGTGCACTGACAACATTAGATTACGGCTGGTGTTTCCGTGACATTTTTACATCCTTTCATTTTATTTGGTCATTTATATCCACGGATCACAACATGTTGCTGTTAGGTGCTTGAGAAGTACTTTTTTCTTCCTGCAGCACATTAATAGCAGTATCCTTTGTTAGTTGTGCTAAATTACATAAAAGTGCCTGTCTGTATTTATATCAGGTAACATTTGCTTCTGGGGCATGGGATTTCTTCCGAAGGCAAAGACTGGCAAGTTGCTATGGTGTTTTCTTGTTCTCTTGATTTTGTTTATTTGTTTATTTTTTTTATTGGTAGTTTTCAGGATTTTTTGTTTGTTTGTTTTTTGTTTTGTTTTGAAGTCCCAGTTAAAATGTATTTATCTGAGAATTGAGTAATATAATCTCTAGGTCTTCTCCTAAACTTAAAGACCACTGTGATGGCCAGAGGCAGATTTACCATGGGGCAGGGATTGGAAGGTACCAAAGATATCTGGATATCTACTCCCACCTCATAGCCTAGGCCAGTGTGAGGAGATGAAAGTGCAAGTGGGAATAAATTAATCACACCTTTTGAAGGGAGAGGGTGATTTTCCTTCTGTACCAGGAAGCTGTAATAGGTCATGGTTAGACACTGAACTGTGAAATATTAGGTAAGAGAGAGCTACCTGAGGTCTGACAGCTACCTCTTATCTGTGTAAACAGTAGCTTGTTATCTTCTTCAAGTCCATAGGCTCCCTGAAATGATGAAGCAGAATTTTGGATGAATGTTAGTTTGGGGCCAATGCCAGCTTCCCTTTCACAACAATCCATGAAATGTCATTCAAAAACAATTTCTTTGGAGCCATCTTTCTCTGTTTACTTTCCAGGAAGCTAGAGCTATGTATCTGCTATTGAAGGTGCACATGCTGAATATCACATGTTAAGTGGGCACAAATAGAGGTAGAAGCCAGTATGGCATTGCCGAGTCAGGATTCATAAATGCTGAACATGGACGCTGACCCTCATAGATGAGTGAGAAGTAGAATACAGAGTTGGTGTCATTTTTTGTTAAAGGGGTGTTTGTGACAAAATGTTAAGCATATTACAGAAAAAAAGTAATAATAATTTTCAGTCTTTCAGGGGTTCTCATTACATGTCCTGATAAGATCAACACCTAACTTGTCTTTCCTAGATTTTGGTTCTTCTGAGAATATGAACAGAGACCTAGCTTAGAAATTTTGTTTAACTTCTACATTAGTAGAATCTACTTTGAAATTTATTTTGTTAATTTGCCCAACATTAGTTGTAAAATACTCAAAACAGTAAAAACATAAGTAACCTACATGAACAAAAGGGTTTTAAAATAATGTTTTGTGGTGTTTGACATTTGTTTTTGTCAGCTTTTAATTTTTTTTTCTGATTTTTTTTCCTTGCCAACATTTGGATATTTCCACCTTTGGAGTGTGTCTCAAAACCCAATTATTAGTTGTGCAGGTAGACAGGTATTCCTTCTCCCCTCTTCCTATCACTAATGTTTATCTAAATCTAAAAGTAGCATGTTGAATTGTTGTTCAAAATATTTATGTGGAGTTTGGCAGAGACCCAGTGGCAAACACAGCATTTTAGAACCCACATTTTCAGTTCAAGACAGCCTCTTAGATATACCCTGAAATGATGCAGTTACAGAAGTGGCCTGATTTGGAAAGTACTGAATTACCACAGCCTTTAACAAAGCAGGGTTCAAAGAGCATTATTTTGCATCATCATCAGATCTGACTAAGTATATTTATGAGATAATGCTATAATTGATTCAGGACTAAAAAAAAATAAAAAAAATAAAAAAAAAAATCTGAGTTCAAAAACAATACAAGATGATCTCCAAAATATACATGCACTTTGAATTAGGTGAAAAAATTTTTTGCTTATTTTTATTCATGAGACAGCAGAAATTTTTCTTGATGAGCTTAGTTTCTGGTACTGCATCTATTGCGTATTATTTTAATGAAAAACTGTTTCAAAAGTCATGTCACTAAAGTATAGGTTTTCTGTGATGGAACACTGCCAGTAGTGCCACCACTAAACTCATTATCTGCACTCAGAATGATGGAGAGAAAAAAGCTTCATTTTGAAATCCCCAGATACTTTCTGCAGGATGACATATAAACTAGGATTTGTACTGTACTGGAAGTTTAATTTGAAGCTTCAACAGTGCCTGCATTTTTTTCTCCACCAATACTCATCCCAGCAGGCACCTTATCCCCAGCCTTTCTCTCATATGAAACTTAATTTATTTTTTCAAAGCCCTCAGTTAGGCATGCACCACAAGTAAAACCCCTGGAAATACATGAAATATTTTTCATAAATATCGTCAGTCTTAGTCAAACTGTTACAACTAGCATTCTGCTCATTTTTGGGATTTGACAGAACCTCTGTGATTCCTTCAGCTCTCTATTCTATCACCTTTCTAGGGCATACCCAGGGTAAAGTTTTAGCTCCTGTTTTCAGATCTTGTACCTCAGAAGGAATCTCTTGTTTGATGACTATCTTCTAAAACAAACTAAATATTGAAAATAAGATGTTCAATATTGTTCATATTTAAGATTTCAAATTCAACACCCTTCCTGCATTTGTGGAGAAATGTTGGGACGTGAATTTTGTCCTTTTGTGACATCAAAAGACATTTCTGTCAGAGTAAAGCTTCAGAATAACATCTAAGCAAAGATGGCATCAGGCTAACCAAGGGGCTTATTACAGTAGCAGAACACTCCAAACTGTATTCAGAATTTATTAAGATGTTCCTTCAATATCAAAATACCAAACACAAAACCAGCTTCGCTCTAATTTTATCATTGCCTTTGGAGAGGAGGCTTTACATTTGTTAAAATGTGTTTATATAAGTGAGAAATTGTTTCATTGAGAGGATTGTATTTACACTCACAAGCATTTCAGAAACAATTTTATGAAAACCAGTGAATCCTCATTGTGATATTTCTCCATATACTGCAATGATGTTCTTTCCCTACTGAGGTGCTGTTTGCTTCTACATAAAATTTGTATACAGATACAAAAATAATTACCTAAACAAACAAACAAACAAACACAAAAACAAAAAAAGGCTATTCTCATTGGTAATTCTTCATGGGTGCCACTTTAAAGGAAACAAAGTGATATTTTAAAATGAAGGTGGCTTGTGCCTCATTTTTTAATAGAGGTAGGGCCCCAGAGGCAGAGCCTCATACGACTGAAACTTCTTTCTGTGCTGGTTTTTTCCTTCTCTGAGCAGGACTGCATAAAGGATTGCATTGATTTTTCCAATTAGGATCAAATTCAGATTCTGCTCATGGTTCTGAAATCCTCACAATCTGAACTCTTCAATTTTCCATCTCTTGCCATGCTATTTGATTTGCCATAGACTAGTGCATTACTAGGAAGGGAGTGTAAATAGGCTTTTCATCTTATTTTCTGTCTCTGCTGTGGTGATTTCTTTGTCTTGTGTTCCACTCTTGGATTGTACCACTCTAAAACCCTTTCCTACTGACTTAAAGAGAGGTTGTAGCTATCAGAAGGGGACTGCACTTTTCTTCTCTTCTTTGGCCCCATATAAATCAGAAGTAGTTACCACAAAACTTGTGTAAGGTAATTTTCTAGCTGTGAAATTTCTTTTTGCTCATATTTTAAAAAAAATCATTTAGACTCCCCATGCCTCTCATACATAAATAATAAATATTTCGCAGTATCAGCCCTATATGCATTTAGGGTGAAGCTGAGCAAAGGGATATACTTTAAATGTACATATCAGGTATTAATGGGCCATCAAGGCCAGACTAAAAAGCTGGTTTTACATGAAATCTTCAACACAGAGTGGGGTCCTCACTGTTCAGTGGTGTGCCCCCAAACCTTGGTTTCATTCTACAGGTTCACTCCCGTTGCACTACAGTTCTTGTTACAGAAGACATAACCAAAGATGGTGACTTCCAGGCTGAAGGCAGAGGGTAAAAAATGAGTAAGTTTTATTCTCCAAGGGTTAGAAAGCAGTAAGACACCCTCTAAATGGTGATTTTACAGGCCATTTTATTATGCTCTGCTATTGCCTTAAGAAGGCTGATGTGGAGAAAGGTAACAGAGTAGTAATAATGGTTTGGTTTCCAACTTCTTTCCATGGTATTTTAAAAACTTAGGTCCCAGAAGAGCTCAGGGATTTTGCACTGGTAACGCTTTCTTTGTATCCCTTATCAGGCATGATCCGTGTGGTATCTAAACTATTTGGTTAGGACTTAATGTGATCCAAAAATAACTGCTGTCAGCATTGTCAAGGTCTGCAAATAACCTTCATATCACCACGATTTTCCAATTCCAGACATTAGTCTTGTCATACCTGTTCCACAATGGTGGGAAAAAATGCCACCCTATTTTTCCTCTTTGTCTTATATGAATGTAGACTATTAAACTATTTTGCTGGACTTGTTATTAATAGCTGATCACAGATTTATAACTTTGGGTTAAGAATCTTATTGTCTTTTCCATGCTGTGGTATAATCATATTTTCCTGCTTTTATGCAGATGTTTCTTGACTTCCAAATAAACCTATTAGAGTCTACATCTGCCACTGTGCCTTTGTCACAGCTATGATACCTGCCTTTGATCATTCTTTCTTGGTGCTGTTTTCTTCTCCTCAAATTGTTCATTTTTATCATGAATGATATTATGTTCCCCTGTCAGGGAACAAAATGTGTTTTGAGTCAATTTACTAAAATAGTCACTGCTAAGTGTTATATCTGAACAAAGTTGACACCTTTGACATTTTCTAAAATGGCAAAAATAACTGTATTTAAGGCATGATTTATGGGCACTCCATGTCAAAGGAATTTCTATGCTATTACAGTTTCTGATTCAGCAGTCCCAACTCTTTCAATAGAGAAATTGCTGATAGTGCAGCTAATTAACGCTTTATTAGGATTCTGTGGTCAATTATAAAAAGTTATAAAAACATAAAACACAATTAAATAATAAAGAATGGTGTGGTTCTCGTTTCTCTCTGAGAACTGCTTTGTTTTTGCATGTGGAAGAAAATTTCTACACAGCTCAGTTTTATAGGACACATTCCCTTCCCCCCAACCACTAAGTAGGAGCAACTCCTATGATTAAAAAGTAGACTGGAGTCTTTAAATGTCTTTCTGATTGCTGGCCTCTATTAAAAACTTCTTAAAATAATAGATAGGTTTAATTCCTCAAGCCAAAGAAAAATTGTATCATCTTAAGTATTTTCCATATTTATTATATTGATGAGATTTGGCTACTGAGAAAAAAAAGGAAGTAAAATCTCTTGTATTGCAAGTTTTAAATGTACCAGGCTAAGGTTTACTTAATTAGAACCTCCAGGCAATAAAGGAGCCCTTTTTTAAATTCTGTGAATCTTAATATGCTAAATAATGCAAAGCTTCAACTCTTCAAGCATGAGACACACATCTGGCAGCTTAACATTTAAATTACAGAAAAAAACCCCACTTCAGTAGTAATTTTCATGAAGAAAAGAATGGGAAATGTATTACAACTAAATTTAATTTCTTTTCAGATTTTTCATCCTGTCTAATTGCAGGCATTTCCCATCTCCTCTTTTATTTATTTATTTTCATACAGATTTTTTCTGTACTTTTTATTGATCTTTAATTTGAGTGGCTTCTTACTGTTACAGCCATTGAAGAATTACATTGTGTTTTTACTTAGCAAAAACTGTTCAGAGAAATCTATGAGGAATTAAAGTAATGAGCTCACTGGTATACAAAGAAAAGATCATTCAGAGCCTTACAAATAAAATATAAAAAGAGCATGTCATGATTAAATAACAGACTTGAGTTCCTTCTCCCTCCCATTTCTTAAATGTAGAATATTATTGTTTTCTTTATTCTTTTTATTGCCCTTTTTTTTTTTTTTTTTGCCAAGATAATTACTGCTTTATTCATTTGACTCCAAAAACATTGTTAAAGTATTCATCATTTCAGCAAGGCTGTTTGGAAACCCATTTTTGTGGGGAAAAAAAAAAAGAAAGAAGAAAAATTAAACAAAGAAAACCACAGGAACCGTCTTTACAAAGGTATATTTATATTTTAATGTGTCTTTATGGGTCCATACAGGTATCCCATATACAAAATATGTAGAGACAGCTTGAACAGGTTATACTGCATGTGTGCACACACGTGACATACCCAGCAGCTGTATTTTAAGCTGTCTTGCTGATTTCAGTAGGTCTCTTTCACCCCAGATGACGTAAATATCTGTAAATTCTTCATTCCTCAACACAGATACACCTGTACATGAGTGTATATATATGTCGAAAGTAAGAAATATATCCATAGGTGTGTACAGAAGCACAGAATTAAAACTGTGACATTGCATGTGCATATATTGTGTATCAACCACTGTAAGACCTAAGAGCAGATTCTTCCTGTACTGTGATTTTAAATACATTTGACTGTCTTTTACTGTGTGGAACTCAAAATAACTTAAAAAGAAAAAAATTGAAATAATTGTTAAGTGTGTTTTTGGCTTGTTCTCCACGTGCCATACATTAAAATGTGCAATACAGACCTCTATTTTTGCCACACCACTGCTTACTATGATGTGGGAGTACATTTTTGTTCATACCACAGGTCACTGCTTTTCGGGAGCTTGAGGGACACTTGACTTTTGTTTTCCAAGAAAAATTTATTCAAGTACTTCATGTCCCTGTGCCTCATTCTTGAAACGCAACTATGCCCCTATAGAAAATTAACCTCCTTCTGTCTTCTGAAGGACACTTCCCAGGGTATTTAAAATACCCTCCCATGTCACTCTTCTTGTGTCTATTATTTCTTTATTTCTAATTTTCCACTTGTTTTTCATCTGTGCAGTTGTTATTTCCCACACCACAGCATCTGAAGCCTTTTCTGCATTTATCATACTAACACTTTCAGAATGTAGGAGAGAAATAGCCACCTATTTTATAACTCAGATGGAGGGGGAAAAACGATCAGCCTGAAGTTAGTCAGCGTCTTGCTGGGAGAGGGACCAAAACCCAGCTGCTTCCTTTCCAGAGGTTTACCTTGCGCACAAATATAAGAATAATTTATATTTGGTTTTGTGGTTTTTTTTTTTTTTTTTTTTTTTTTCCTTACAGAGGATTACCAAGATTGCCATGACAATACAGACAAGCACTGTGGCTCGTATTGGCTGAAGAAAGTCCAAGAAAAACATCACAAGGTACTGGTCTTGATATGAACACCACCATCTCCCTCAAAGCTCACAAAGAAGCCACTGGAGCTTGTGCCATTTGAGAATGATTTGTGGTCTTGCTTGCTCTGGTTGTTGTGTTTCTTTAATCTATCCCTGTGAATTTTTTAATAGCCACAATAAGGCTTCACATGACCTGGTGTATTGCTGTCTCCTGTATATTTAATCTCTTCAGCAATGAAACTTCAAAGGAGGAGTAGGAAAGCCCACCAAGCAATCAAACAACAAAAGCTTGATCAAGGTGCAGGATGATATAATTTCAATAATGTGTAAACATGAGACATGTGTCATATGCATCCATAAGCTTCAAGCTCTCCTGTGCTTGTGCAGAAGACCATCAGAAAATTGTAGTATATGTATTTGTAGTATCCTGGCCAAGGACATCATTAATTTGTGAACAAATATTGTGTCCTCAGTACAAGTTAACATGGAATTTTATCTGCAACATGATAACACTTTCAGGGTGAGATGCTACTGAAACTTTCAGATTTAATGTAGATCCTGAGAACCAAGTTACAAAGAAGAATTTGTATTCCTGAAAATTGCTTCTCCCTGCACTTTATTATTAAATTAGGTATTTTTCCAGTGATAGTTGCGATTTTTTATCAATAACTGTTGCTCCATTTCTATCCTTAAATCAGTATGGCTGTAGTGAATGAACTGCAACCATGAGCATTCAAGTTAATCATGCTGGTAATTTGTCTCACCCTGTACTAGATACACTCTGAAGTATTTTTAATGCTTTTAATTGCCCATAGGAAACAATCACCACAGTACTCGGAGTACCCAAAAACTTGTGCAGTGTAGCACAAATACTCAACAGCTGGGGATTATAACTTTTAACTTTAGTAGAGTGAGGGTCTACATTTGTGAGCAAAACCAGATTGACCAGATTGGCCATTCACTTGCTTTTAATGTCTAAGTTTCCAAGTGATTTATTTCTTCAGGAAGATAAGCGTAACTTGAAGAAAACAGAGTTTCATATCAATTTAGCTGCAGACTGAGGTGTGCATGTGTGAGTGTGTTTAGCCTTATATCTAGAGGAGGGATGACTTAAGGACCGATGGAGTGGGTGTAATGGGCAAAGCAACCCAGCCCAACCCATGGGGAGTGGCAGGGTGAAATTCATTTCCTACAATCCCATAATAGCACAATGCCTTTGAACAAAATGCCATAGTCTTACAGGAACCTCAGTTGTGGGTGGCTCTCAAAGCCACATTAAAGTGACCTGGTTTCAGTGAGGTGCATAAACCCATGGGCAATTCAGCACTGTCTAGTCCCTTCAGTCTCACTGAAATGACTCACAAGCTTACAGTTATTGACATGTTTGAATAGATTTCTGAACTGAGCCTCTTATGAGAATCCTTCTGCACAAAAGAAATGTGAGCATGTGAAATCTCCTTTCAGAGGTTGTGAGAGCCCCTCATTTTTTAATGGGATGAGTGAATCCTAATGTTCAGAAAGAGCCTTGTTTTAGCATGTTCAAGATTTAGGGCCTATTTTATATAATTTGGGCCTAATTGTATCTCTGGATAGCATCTTCTAAAATAACTTTGCCTAAAAATTGTATATAGGAAACAATGACAAACTAATGCAAAGAACATACTTAAAGAAAAAGACATAAATTAATGTAGTGCTTTATTCTCCTCAGCAGTTGCTTTTCTTTCTGTAAACAGATTATTTTATTTTTATTTTATTTTATTTTATTTTATTTTATTTTATTTTATTTTAATAGCAAGAGGAATGAGAAAGCTCTTTGAGTCTGACTTCAACTTTTTAGGGAATATAGATTTCTCTGCTTAGCCCTCCCTACCCCCAAATTCATCTATGCTAAAGAGCTGCAAATGGTCTCCCTCTAAGTGTATTCTGAGTGATGGGCATTAGCAACAATTCAGCTTTTGTTGCAATGAGTGTGCAAACCACTGCATGTATTAAGATATTGAATGGTAGCAATAAAAGAGAGAATGCTCACAGTCAGTGACTTCTGAGAGAAGTAAAACATATTCTGTCGTTATAATGCCAACCTCATGCCACTGACTGAGTTTCTGCTTTTTGTACCTCACACGAGCAAACACGGTCTCAGAGAAATTAACTCATAATGCTCTTTAACACCTTTGGGATTTATGTCTTAACTAATGTCTTTACATCTACTTTGCACAGGAATAGTTTAATGGAGAAAATATCAGTGCAAACAAGGTACCTTGCACACACTACCAATTCTGAGACTTTGACTTATAGGGTATAGATTTGAGCAGTCATGTGGCTGAAGTTCAAAACATGCATAAGATCCATGTAATCCAAGATTCAGAATGCAAATTCACCTTTTAAAGCAAAATGGTTTACACAGTAAAAAAAAAAAAAAAAAAAAAAACCAAACCAAACCAGAAAGAAAAAAACTTTGTAGTTTTCCTAATTAGCAAAGTGTAAATTGATGTGACTGCAGCAATGCATCCATCCACTTGTCCTCTGTGTTCACTAAATGTTAGCAAACTCTTTGCAGAGTTTGGTATTGTGCCTGAGAAGGTATTAATAGATATCATCATGGAAGTCACCCGTAGATGTTTGCCTGGTAAATGATGACCTCATTGTGTCTCTTGGTGGAAGCGATGTTTGGCTCTTTGTCCAGGGGCAAACATCCAGGGAGTCTGGTAGTCAAATCAGAGAGGCGATGCCAGTGCCGAATCAGACCCAGTGCATGCAAAGGTGTTATTCCAGAGATGAGCACAGATCAGGATCCTCTACTTCATAGCTCAAAGAGTAGTTTAAATGAGCATAAGCTGGCACCAGCACTGAAAGATGAGGCACTGTCCCTCTCCTTTGTGCTGGCAACTGGGGCAGAGTGACCTGGATCAGAATGGGTCCAGCTGAGAGCTAACCCAGTTAATAAAAAAAAAGGAAAAAAAAAAGAATCCAAATAGTATTAACTCAATTCCCAGGTCAGTTCCTTCCATATGGCTTACTAAGGACATGTCCAGATTTTTGCACTGGCAGAGTGTGGTGTCCAACACTGGAAAAACAAATGAGTGGAGGAAGAGTGGCTGACTGCTGGCTTCACCATGAGCTTGCACCTCCTTGAGAGGGTTTGTCAGAGCCCCATAGGAGCATAAATCAATTAATGGAAAAATATTCTGTATGCAGCTCCAGGCCCCATGATTTTAGAAGGTTGAAAATGTCCTTGGATGTGTCCAGAGGACGGGAAAATAGGGGGCTGGAAGGCATGTCCTGTCAGGAGCGGCAGAGGGCTTGTCTTGCTTGGAGAAAAGCAGGCTCAGGGGAACCTTGTTCTCTTCAGCTTTCTGGGTAGCGAAAGTGGAAAGGGAGGAGCTGAGATCTTCTCACTTTTATCCAGTGATAGGACATGCATGAATGTTTCAAAGATGCACCAGGGGAGGCTCAGACTGGACAGCAGGAAGCAATTCTTTACTGAGATGGTGGCCAAAAGCCTGGAACAGTATTCCTAGAGAGGTGGTTGATGCCCCAGCCTGTCAGTGTTTAAGAGACATTTGGACAGTGTCCTTAACAGCAGGCCTTAACTTTTGGTCAGCCCTGAATTGCATCACAGATGCTTGTTCTAGGTCCCTTCCAATTGAAATAGGCTAGTCTATTCAAAGTGTTTTGAATACATACTCAAAGCAGCTTTGCCACTGCTCTTCCCATGTTTGTTACAGAGTGAAAACAGGGCTAGAATTCAAAACAGAGAAATTGGCACCTCTTTGCTAGCTGTGTCCAGCTAATTACCTTAGTATTCAAACTTGTTTCTTATTTTCATTTAAAGGTCAGCAGGAATAAGCCACCTGACCAATGTTACGAAGAAAAATCAGGTCCCGAGAGCAATAAAAGCCAAGAAGAAGGGAAAACATCTCCAGAGAGCAATTTTTATTTGGAAGACTTGGAGAAATACACCTTTTCTGTGTGGTAAGTGATCTCAGCATCAAACAGTCTCACAACCTGAAAGTTTGCCTTGCCATGTGTGTATTACAGAGGCTTCTACCTTTAGGTGAAAGTTATTGGGCTAAAAAAAAACCAAAAAACAAAAACCAAAAACCCATGGAATTCTCTTGGACTTAGTGTTATTTATGACTGAAGTCAAATTAAAAAAATTGGAAGCACTTTTGGTCTGAAAATGCAATTTTGACATTGCTGCATTGTTTTGAGAAGCTGTGTCAGGGGAATAAAGGCAAAAAGATTTCCAGCATAATTCTTTTAGCATTTTAGGAGCAATACACTACCTTTTTTGGATGTTACTTTAAATATTATTACTGTTCTCTGTTATAAAATACACATATGGGGAATGACTTAAAATGAATAGATAAATTAAAGTGAAATTAAAAAGGCTGCATCAAAATGAAATCTTTTCATTTACTTATAATTATTTTTCCTGGAATTTCATCTTCTAGGTAATTGCAAAAGTTGGACAGTTTTTTGTAATTAGTAAAAAACAATGAAGACCCAATCCTTTACTAAATGAAGTGATCTCATAATATTTCATATAGCTCCCTTCTGTGCTTTGAATATTCAAAATCCAGCTGTAATATACATTTCTGGAACCCATGCTCTTCTCCAAATCAGCCCCTAGAGTTTTGAATTAAGCATCTAGAAAACAAACATCAGAATAGGGTGTATGTCTGTGAAAATTTAATTTTAAATCACTTCCCTATCAAAACATGAGACAGGATTATCTCACCGGCAAGCCAAGCAGCCCTCACCATCTCTAGTGCTGTCTATGCCCTGCTGTCGTTTGCCTTGGTGCCTTTAAAATTGGCAGGAAGTCAGGTAAAGACTTTACAGACACAAAGTGCATTTTCACTGTGGTAATCTGAACTCAGCCCTAGAGGTGATTAACCCTGAGTACTGGAGAAGGCATAAATCAGGCAGAAGAATAACACACACTCATATAATTAGGCTTTCATAATTCTGCTGGATTAATTATGGTTATTTTGGACAATTAAGGACTCCCCCATCCTGGCCATAATATAAGAATAGATTTTAGAGTAGCAGTGCTCATCCAAATATCCTTGCCAGCTCTCACTGTTTCATTTTACCTACCTCAATTTTCAAATTAAATTAACCAAATTATCATCAATTAACTATCTCAAGGTGCTTGCTTTCTGCAGTGGTGAACTTCACTTTCTCCCTTCTGTGTCTTGCAGAGTTACAGTGATAGAATTAATATTTGATTGTATATGCCCTATCCCTGGATTGTATATGCCCTATCCTCCTGGTCTGGTGGAATGTGTTCCTACCCATGGCAGAGGGTTTGGAACTAGATGGCTTTTGGGGTCCCTCCTAACCCAAACCATTGTGTGGTTCTGTCTAGCTTTAAAGTCAGCAGCATTAATCCTTTATTCTTTTCAAAGTTGTTCTGCTTAAAAGTGTTGGGAAAGGGGCTCAACTTTACCCTTATCAGTCTGTCCCCAGGCTTTGAACTCCATGGCCTTTGAAATTGCACAAGGTATCTGGAGAAGCAGAGGAGAGAGGCACTTGTCTCTGTTGACATGCACCTCACCTTTTGATTTGGGGAAAAAGAGAAAACAGCTGCCCCTTCCTCCATTTTGTTTTCTATTTCTTTTCTTTATCATTTCCTAGGGAACCCAGCTGTCCCTGAGCCCCATGCCTGCAGGGACACTGATTTTGCCAGGATTCCCTGGGTAGGCAGAGTTATATCTGGGCACAGGAAGTTACAGGGCGTGAACCAGATCTTCCTGGTACAAAACAAAAGAAACAGGGCATGTGTCAGGTTGCTGCCTGTCCTAGCTGAGGCCAGTATTTTGTTATTTCAATATCCATTCTATTTACTGTTGTTGGAAATAAGGACCAGTACTTGCTTTATTTACATACTTTTTACGTTCAGATCCTGTGAGGTTAGAACCAAACAGAATTTAGAGGGAATGCCTTTGCCTTCTGCTTCACTTGTGGTCATCATATTTATCAGAAAGAAAAACAATAGGAAAATGAAATTGCTCCACTCTTGTCAAGTAATACAGGTATTACACATAGCATGCTATGTAAAGAATGTATAATAGTATAATATAATAATGTATTAATAATCCATTTTAAAAATATAGAGTTAATTCAGGTAATTTACTTGGGAATCTGATACCTTGTGAATTGTTAATTCCATCTGTTTCTGTAACAGCATGATGTTTCCATTGTTGCTCACTTATGTCTCTCTCCTCCTTTCCTTTTCTCCTACTTTCTCCATCAAAGGGCATCAACTCTGCCTTGTCTGTTTCCAGACCTTCCTCTCCACTACAATTGCTACCTTTTAAAAAATGCAATGCAAGATAATTAGCTACTACAAAAATTTTTAATAGCACTGTAGATCTGGGGGCAGCTTAGATCTTCATAAACTTCAGAGTTTTAGATGCTCCAAGATGCAATCTGAGCAATTTCCTTGATCTTTTATTGCAGCTGGTAAATCATTTATTGGGCTAGGTTATTTTACAAAATCCTCTTTAGAAACAAAATCCCATAAAATGTATTTATCATAAAGTACTGTATGACCAACAGTCTTCAAAGCTGTACATACCCTGTATTAATTAAAAGCTAGTGTTGTACTGTGACAAGTTAAAAGTATCCACTGTCTCAGTCTTTCTCTTCCCGCCCTCACCCTCTGCCTCTCCCAATGATTTTTTTCTCTATTCTTTTTCTTCTCTCATATGCTCTTCTCTTTTAAGGCTTGCCAAAGGGGAGATTGGTGAGTACGAACAAGATATTCTTTTGTGATCACAAATATTTTTCTGATAATTGTGATTTTTTTTCTTCCATTGCTAGAGCATGCATGTCCTTTTCCATTCATATTAATTTGACAGTGGTGTCTCACATCCGTAGGCCATAGTCAAACCTCCTTACAGTGGGCATTATACACACAAGTAATAAAAAGATCATTTTGGCTGCAGAAGCCCACAGGCTTCAGCTTCCATCTCACAGCCTACACGAGTGCCTTTCCCACTGTGCCCACGTACAGCCTTGCTCAGAGCAGCAGGCTTTTGCTTGGGTCCACTGAGTTGAGGGTGAGGGGATGAGTCCAAAAGATGACGTGAGGGTGAAGAGGTTAAGACAGCAGGCAAATGTGGTCACATATTGCAGGGTCATCCCTTCACAGCCTGGTAGATGCCAGGTGCTCGCCAAGTGCTCTGCTGGCCTTCCTGGAGAGCCCACTCCAGGACCTTGCCTTGCACCACAGCATGGCTGAGCCTCCTTTCTCTGAGATGTGTGTTCCTGGAGTTAAAAGCCTGTGTAGTCTGCAGCAGAACATCAATATTATTTGTGACTATTGTCTGAATAATATGGGTGAGATCTGTAACCTTGAGAGAAAAGGAAGAAAGTTTGGAGGAATTTTAACCTTGCAGCCAAACTCTCAGAAGCTCTCTAGCTCTTCTTCTGTTCTCTGAAACAAGCAAAATTTGAGGAAAAAAATGTTCTTCATGACTAATTGTCACTATAAAGCCAGATTTCCTGAACATGTATAAAAAACCAGATGTGAGAAATAATTTCAACGCTTCAGTGCTTTAACACTGTTTTTTATGTATAGTTCTAGAGGAGATGTGAAAACGACCTTAGATTTCAAAAATCTTTATTTGTCTTAATACAAAAAAAAAAAAAAGATAATGACATATTCACCTTCTGTGACTTTAGGAATATTTAAGCTTGAGTTTAAATATAAAAACTAGCAATTTCAATTGCCAACAAACTATCATCAAACACAGCTCTCAAGGGTTAACATTGCACACTAATATAAAAGTAACGATCATCCTTTGTCTCCATGCAATTAGCTTTTTAACAACGTGCCTGTAGCTCCTACCCAGGCTAAATTCTGCTTTGAAATATTTTCTCCTCAACCCCAAATGTGTTAAGCTGACTCTGGCCAGCTTCTATAAAACCAATTAATTGTAGGGCACTGCCTTTTGTGGGGGAGTAGCCAGTGCCCCACACAGCAGTGCCATGTGCTGCCCATGGCTGGGTTGCAGGCTGGTCAGTGCAGCACCAGTGCAGAGACAGCACCTTGATGCAGGAGACAAGCTGGTAAATCCCATCTAGAGTCACATCCTTGCATGTCCAGAATCCAGGGCATTGGAGCAGGCTTTGGTTCTCACTTGCACCCATCAGGAGCAGATGCAGCCCTTGCTCAAGAGAGGTAGCAAGGGGTGGTGAGGACAAAACAGGCTCTTGGCAGCATGTCACAGCCTGGGTAGGGTGAACAAGGTTGAAGACCCCTTTACAGCCCTGCCACTGCACCTGTGGACTTTATGAGTTTTACTAATTTTTTTCCCAAATTGAGGAAGATACTGAGGGACAGGAAGAGTTAACTGTAAAGAGCACAATACAGTAAACTTGTTTTTTATATAAAGACAATAAACTTTCCCTTTATAATACACATGTGATTTTACATTGAAATAAATGCAGATGCTTCTTTGCTTGGTGTATTCCCTGTTGTGCTTTCTAAAACACCTTCACATATGGTTTGCCTCATTCCTGTGAAACTGCTTGTTGTTTATGTCATACAAACAGAACAGATTGAATTTATACCAAGTTAGGAGGGTGATGAATCCTATGTTAGAGGAAAATCCTTGCCTGAGTTTTTGAATTTGTTCAAAATTAGCATTGCCTGTTAAAAATTGCTCTGGATTGTCCCTTGAGCTTTTCTAAAGATTTCATTAAAATTAAAAAAAAAAATTAAAAAAAAAAAAGCTGCGGCTGCCCATAAATGCTCATAAATATTTTATTCAAATATGTAACATTTACCTAAAATCAAAGGTCAAATTTTACCTGTTTTTTATAGCCATCCCAGTAGGATCTGTTTCATGCATTACATATAAAATACGGCCATTAAGAGCGGACATTCAGCTTCCTTTGTGTAAAGCAGAGTAACCACTTATTGTGTGCTTTAAAAAAGTGCTAATCTTTAAAAAATT